ATATGACAAGCCAAAATAAAATCAAGTCAAATTAAATAGCAAGAAAAAGCTGCAAGCAAAACAAGACTGAAAAAAAAAAAAATAGAAAAAGATGAAAAATTGGTTGTGACTGCAAAACTGTAAGTATTAAATAAAGAAAGAAGTCAGAAGCAAATTCAGGAGCGACCGTATTCTGCTTGACAAGGGCTGAGAAATACTAATGGATTTTTTTAATGGGTGGTTTGATGGATGAGAGAAGAAATTACGTAAAAGTAAATGTAGTAGTGTATCAACATAAAGTATGGTGCCAAAAAAAAAAAAAAAAAAAAAAAAAGCATCGCAAATAAAAAAAGACATGTAAATGTGTGCCTACCATTTTCCAGATAAGAAGGGGCCGTACCTTCTGAGGGGTCAAGGCGGCGAGCCCGCCTCCCGTGTTTGGAATTGTTGTGTACAAACATGTTGTCTGAGACAGCCAGCACGTGGCCATCCACATTGACTGTTGTTGATACAACAACCTGCAAAAGAAAACAAAAAAAACCATCCAAATTTAAAAAACCCTGCCATGTTTTCACAAACGTGGATACAGAATCTGATCTTCTTTTAAGACAAAACACCACCACCGCCTGTTACTTTTCGCATTAAACAAAGTGAATGACAGCTATGAATACATCTGTGTTTATGTGGCTAACACTGGTGATTTTTAACTCACAATTGTTTCTCTTCAGAACCTGCTACACTAATTAGAGTTTAATCTCCTATTATGCTAACAAATGAATTCAATTCAGGGAAATATTCTTCTAGCCATTAGTTTCAGAAACACCCCTCTAGCCACTCATTTTAAAAGCTGCTGTTTTGATTGATCTGTTGATATATTGATTAGATAGTTTATCTAATTAAAATTTGTTCACTTGAGACTGTCTTCAAATGAAGGGTTGTGAGGATTCCAAATAAAAAAAGCTTAATAAATCAGGAACCATCGTAACTCCCCATTTTTTCTTCAGTAAATGATCTCCAGGTCAGTTTTACAATTACATTTAATGTCTGATAATGAACTTTTTTGCATCTGAAAAGACCGAGTTGAATATGAATAGTGAAAGTGTTTTCAATCCATGAAAAGTATCCCTTCTCAAGTTCATTTGGATGGTGATTGACCCTGGTATGTCAATGGAATTTCCTCCTTTATTTTTGAGTGAAAGGCTCCTATTCTTGTGTCCAGGTTCAGAGTCCGGCCATAGAAGAGATGATGGATAGGGCCTTCTTTGGCTTCCAGCTGCTTCTCAGTAGAAAATGGAAAAGGAACATATGCAAAACGCACAACCTTCCCGATACAAACACCTACACAATGGAGTTGTGAAACTCCTTCCGGAAACGATATCGTATGAACACAAGCCAAAGAGGAAACCCTGAGATGCGCCTGGGTTTGTGTGGAACACGGCTTCGTAGGTCGATCGCTATTATCCCAGATAGACATTTACATCTTATTTAAATCCTCCAGCAAGGCCCCTGTGGTGTGGGTTCCAGGTTTTCTAAACGAAGTAATCACTGCAGTATTTTCTTTGGGGTTTAATGTTAGTAGTGTCCTTCAAGTCAACGGCTAAGTTAGGCCTTGTCAACCCTACTGGTGACGGCGGCAACAGCTAGTACACATTTTGGCTTTCATCCTCCGTTTATTTCACCTTTGGGTATAACAAAAATGATCGTCAGGGTTCTCACACCAGCTCCTATACCCAAACGCTTAACGAGCAACAATCGAAGGGGTAAAACTAGCCTCCCTTTGCACAGAGCGGCTCCAAGGCATGAGAAGAAAATTCTTGTCTGCTTCTATGTTTTGGATCACCTCTGATCCTGTTTCTTATTCACAACCCATAATTAGCTTTCAGCTATCACAGCACCTTTTCTGTGTATCCTGCCTCCTTGGAGACAGCCATCTGCGGTACCCTTTGGAACAGCCCGAGGGCAGTTCTCTGCCAGGCTGCTCTGCTCCCCTACCTTTCTCCTCCCAGAAGTGGACACTTTCACTCTTGTCAACATCCACCCTGGAGAGTGCTGAGGTTGCACGCTCACCTCGGCCGCAGAGCTGCTGCCAGGCCACTGGGCTATCTGCTTTCGCTTTTAATGAGATTCGCAGACTTTAAGAAATATTGCAAAATGTACAAGGGCGATTTTCAGCAAAGGTTGCTGGGTTTGGTTCCTAGAACACGGTATATTAAAAAGACAGAGAAAGGTGTGTATAAAAATGACAACTATTTTTGTTCTGTCATGTATATATAGGTCAGTCACCAAGGGAAAATACTGTAGTTCAGCAAAAGAAAGTAGACATGCTATGCTTTGTTATATCGGCTTATTCCTGCGGTGCACCTAAGGAAAGGTGCTGAGACAGTGAAACCAGTTAAAAATATTGTTCAAGATCTGACATACTGTTAAGTCCAGTTAAACCTTCTGAGAGGCAGGGAGATTAGCTAAAGAGACCCAGGAAAGTCTTTCTAGTGCCTACTGGCTCCATTGTCGACCACAAGATCACTCATGACTGATGCTTCATTTAGTCATCGGTGAGACAAAGAGGACATTTCCACTCATTCCAGGTTTGACCTTCTGTTCTGTTCAGATGGATCAATATCACCAATGCCACGTGAAGCTGAGATGCATGAAAAATGGAAGCTTGGCTCAATTGTTTTGAAGAAATATTTTTTCCAGCTACAGATCTTTGCTGTTGGCTGGCTCAAGGGTGCTGGCTTCACCGGTTGGTTGGCTGTGCATGAAAACAGATGTCACATGTTTTGCTATCAAGTTTAACCACAAGTTATTCTTTTCAAAAATAAGAAAGTTTTGAACATCTCAATACTGGTTTATTATTAGTCTCAAATATGCACTGTTGTGAAATATTTTGAAATAAGAAGCATATAGTTCCTAACAAACATTTCAAATGACCCCAAACACAGAGGAAATCATTTGTCCATCACGTCAGCTGTCTCTCTGTAGTGTTATGATTCACCACAGGATATTTCAAAAGCTGTAAGAAGAAAGTGAAGTATTAAACATTTTCTAACACAATTGGAATAAAAACATAGGGGTTGGACCACCGCTGTTGGATTTACAAGTTGTGAATGTGAAAAACCCCTGTGTGAGATCCAAACTTCCCTGCGCTCCACCGTCATGTCTGTTAGCAACATTCTGCTCCTCCGTCTACATGTGGAAAAACCTCTGCAGGTCTGAGCACACGCCACGCTACAACGCAAGGTGTTAGTATGAAGGAAAACCACGGAAACACTTTCTGAGGAGAGAGCCCCTTGCTTCGGCATTGATCCATTACAGTCCACCGCAGAACTCCGCGACTCCCAACAACCAGCAACAACCAGTGGGCGAAATGTAAAATACCGATAGTGCTTTTTTTTAAAGGCATGCAGCATTGGAACTACACTAAGTAGAAGCACTGATACTGTTTTTTCATTTAAAAAGCTCACGATGAAGATGCGAGTAAGTCTTTTATATGCCGTTTATCTTTTAAGAGAGATCTGTACCTGGAATCTTCGCATGTCTCGCGGGTTGCCTGCATTCTTCAAACAGTTCTGATTGCACTTGAGGAAAAACTTTAGAAAGAATCTATAAAAATACAAAATTGAAATCTATTAGATTCATCAAAATGTAAATCTAATTTTAAAAAAGTTTAATAAAATTTAATCATAAGTAGTTATACCCAAAAGAATACTGGTAGTGAAATATTACTTTCCTATTAGTTAATGAACTTATTTTAAAGCATAAGATCTCTGTTGTAAACAGAACATTATTGCCAGGGAAAGGCAAATTTATATTTTTAATTTTTCAACAACTACAAATGTATTGACTCCAGGCCATATCCTTAGCTCGGTGTGGGAAAGTTGATTTCAATGACTCATTGACTTCAAAGGCAATGACTTACACCAGATGAGAATTTGTCTCTATTTTTTTAATACTTTTTATTTTTTCACAACTTATATTAGCAGTAATGACCTCTACATCGAAACATTCCAAGGTAATGAATGATCAATCTTCTGAAAAACACTTGGCGTTGCCTCCGGTTTGGAAACTCTCGCTATTCAAAGGGACTCGATCCAACTCCTGCTGACTCCAGGGAGATCCAGGCGGGATCTGCCCACCGGCAAGGCCCCGGTTCCCTCATTGTTTTTGAAAGGAAAGGAACATGGCAAATTAGGCCCTGTCTTGTGACCTCGTCAACCTTTGCCAGCCTTTAACTGTGAGGAGTCACTCTACCCAGGGACGGAAATCCACCTTATTTTTGCTGAGCGGCAACCAGCAATTATTTAGGACTAACCCTTATCATCTAGGCACCTCCCAATAACCATTTTTGTAGCATCGCTGCATCCCAGGAACACAGAAAACACATACAGGAAGGGGAAATGCTTGGAAAAGTGCAAACTTCTTTATGCCGCCCTCCTGTACTTGCTGGGGAAGGAGCTGATATGGGTTGTCTCCACCCTCCAGGCTATGCAAGACCGGGGGATCCTCACCATCCTGCCCTCGTGCAGGAGATGTTCGCAGCCTAACACCTCCTCTTTTCTTTATGTAGCTGTTTTCCCATTTCATAAATTAAAAAAAAAAATCTCAGCTACTGACAGCAAAGCTCAGGGCTTTCTAGTCACCCAGAGTTTCTCTGATGCGCCAGCCCGGCAGCTTGCGCTGCCCAACTCCACCTATGTTGAACAGAATCATAGAATCATAGAATGGTTTAGGTTGGAAAGGACCTTGAAGATCATCGAGTTCCACCCCCCCTGCCATAGATAAGGATACCTCCCACTAGAATTAATATTACGGGGAATAGCGAGGTTAGGCAGAGCTTTTATATCTAGAATACGAACAACTATTATTTATTCATGTCGGTCTTTATAAGTGGCTGTGACTATTCTTGCTGTGTACACCTCGCAGAAGTTTCCATGTGCCAACAGCATTCCTGGTAGGAGGCAAGCCAGGCGCCTCTTCCCTTCTTCGGTGCCCAATTGCGGCCAACAGCAAGTATGACTGTGGCTGCACCCCGCTGTGCTCGCTCCTGATGAGCTTCGAGGGTCAGACAGGAGCCTTGTGGCAGTATCCCCGTATCACAAACTGGTGCTTTTAATCACAGCTCTTCCTTTTCAGTTAAACCTTGAGCAGGACCCTAATATTAATACGGGACGCTAACGCTGAAGGAGCAATCTCTCATATCAGAAGGAAGGAGGGAAATGACTATGTTTACTGAAACTGTGCATAAATAAACCGATTCTGTTAGTTTAGCTGAATGCAGGTTTCTTTAAAACTTCCTATCCCGAAATCTGTAAAGGAGTTTTAGCTGTCGAGCTGGAAGAGACCTGGATTTCCACAGTGGTTGATGTGATCTCCCTAGCTCGGATGCTCACTTGAACTCAAATTTTCTGGACACTGTTTGCAGGGACACTACCAGTGACCCGATGAAGCTGCATCTTTGTTAGCCACATCCCCACCCTAATTTTATCTGCCTTGGCTTTGGAGGGCTTTTTTTTTAAATACTTATGATCTCCAGATCAACTGAGCATGGGCTAAACCTAATGTTGTTTCTGTCATACCTCTATTCTTTTTTGCACACCTTCCACCGTGTGGACTGCGATGATGTGCAAGGACCAGCTGGTGCCCACGTCAGTACGGGACCACCAGGCACTGGTGACAGGACCAGTCAGGAGCTGGGGAGAGCCTCCAGCTTTACAGCTCCTTAGTGCCACGGCCAGGCTGAAGAGGAGTATCTTATCTATTATTTTTTTCTGATCTCAAATGGGTGTTGTGAGGCTTATTGAGCTAATGTTTGTAAATTGCTCGGAAATTCTCCAATGAATTGTGCACTAGGAATGCTAAGTATTGCTCCTCGTGGATTGTTTTTAACGTGAAGCACTCGTGATGAATTGTTTCTATACAGAGAGCTCACATCCTGTCAAAAAAAAAAGGGCCATTAAGCACCCTTTCACTGAACATCAACCGGAGCTGGTATTTGTTCAATTATTTGGTGAAAAGGACCCACGCTGGGTGGAATTAGACATCTTCAAGTTTACTCGGATGACCCTGGCACTGGGCTAAATGTCAAAGCGACAAGGCTGGGGTGAACACAAGCAGCACTCCTAATTCAGCTCTGCCGCATTCCTTGATACTGAGATATTTTATTTTTTAATCTGTGTTTGCGGAGAGTTCATGGAGCACAGGTGGCATCAACACAAGATTTTCAGAGGAAGACAACACAAGTTAAAAACCACGTTCTGCTCATGCAGGGCATTTCCCAAAGCTTGCCAGAAGAAAACCGACTCAATTGTTCCTCTCAGATGACCAGCGAGGACCGTGGGTGCTATGAACCCATCCCGATGGCAGATGGAACAGGGTCAGACGCTTTCCCTGCGAGCCCTGTGCTCCCGAAACAAGATCGGGGCAACAGCAAGAAGCGAGCAGCTGGATCGGAGCTCGCTTTGGTCATCTCTCAAACTTTGTGGCTACCAAGAGAATGAGAACGCAAGCCTTTCTACGTTTGCCTCTCCCTGCTATGTTATATGCACAAATTCTAGTCTTTTTTAATATATCCAGCCTTGCAGAACAGCCTTCCTAAACACAGTAAGCTCTTCCTAAAATACTGATATGGAGAAAAATGCAGGCTTTGGGAGGTTCCTTTGCTCTGATTTTTTTCACGCTGCCAGAAAGGGGCCTGCTACCACCTTAATTAAAATGTATTACCCACCACAAGACTCCACTATTTTAAGATAAAATTTACATCTTTTATTGACTCACCTCACCTATACACTTAGCTCGCGATGCCTCTCAACGCCCATCTGCCATCCGCGTACAGTAAGTCACTTGATATTCCACCCACCAATTTTTCCTAACAACCACTGTGCAATTAAACTCAACACGTTCTGTTGCGAGGTAAATTAGGCACACCTGCGGCCAGACTTCATTTGAACTGCATCAGAAAAGGACCTAACAAGGTGAGAGCGTACCACAAAGTTATAGGCCTGTCAAGCAATTAGGTTTTCACTTCTGGGACATCCGCACAGTGCAATTATGCTACACATTACAACCTGGCTAATCTTCTGAACAAATGTCATGTCTCGGAGAAGCTAGTAAAAGCAGTTCATCTGCAAATGTGTCTGCTCTTAAGCCTCCACCTTATGCACATAACAACCTACAGGAGACTTTTTTGTGATATGAAAGATGTTTTTTTTCCATAGAAGATTTTTTTTTAAACCCTGCAAGTGCCTTTTCATCCTTTTCACCTCTTCTTAACCTTTTTTGAGAGGAGGTGTTGTAGCAAATAGACCAGAAAGACTTTTGTACTTGAATTTCAACACTAAGGAAGAAAATGCTTGGTATTATAAGCACAAGCGGTGGTTAGTTTGGTCTGATTCAAATATTGTCTGGCTAAAGGAATATTTGTGGCAGAAACCCACCTATTACATCCTAGAAACATCATTAGTAAGGCGTATTTCCACCAGACGCCAAACAGAAGCGTCATTCGTGCAAATAAACCTCAGCAGG